AGTTCCAGCTCCTGCCAACCTAGCAGTTCGAAAGCAAGAAATTGCAAGTAGATAAATAGGTACCACTTCAGTGGGAAGGTAACAGCGTTCCGTGCGCCTTGGTGTTTAGTCATGCCGGCCACATGACCATGGAAACGTCTTCGGACAGCGCTGGCTCTTCGGCTTTGAAATGGAGATAAGCTCCGCAACCCTAGAGTCGGACTCGACTGGCTTTCGAGCAAGGGAACCTTTACCTTTACCTTTAAGTTTGCCTGGTTAGCCATGGCTGCCACCTTTGACAATTGCTGGCAGCAGACAAGTAAAGTACCCCATATTTTCCCCACCACCATACTGTGGTAGTGCTGAGAGTGTCTTTTGGCAACCCTGCAGTGAAGTCCAATGTTACCCTTATGTTGTGTAGGCTAAGAGTGGGTTCGAACAACCCTGCAATGTTTTCATATTGCAGACTAAGAAAGAGTGGTTTACAGAAGGCTTACAATGTGGTCTGCCATTATTCCCCATATGGCACTTTGTGGGGGAATGAGGCTGAGAACCTAGCTTATGACCTACCAATGTAGCCCAGTGTTATTATTGCACTTTGGAGAGAACCAAGGCTACAGTAGAATATAACAGTCCTTTAAAATAGTCCTTTCACTTAGTCTTTCCCCCCACCGCCAGATGAGAGAGGTTATAAGTTGGCTAAGCTTTGGATGCAAGGAACAAGATGGTGTCATAAAGCATCATTGGAGAGGAAGGTTAGAAAAAGACTTCTTGGGTGCTATTTTTTAGCACAGTAAAAAACAACACCACCTCTGGGTTTTTTGCACATGTGTGGATGCACACAAAACCACCCACAGGGACATAAAACAAGCCCTGGGAACTGTCAAAACATTCATGCTGTATATTGGACAGCATCCAGGTTGCAGTGAGCAGAGAAATTCTGTCAACCAACATGTACAGCTGTGACTCTGAGGGAGCCTCTGTCAAGAATCTTTTTTAGCAGACACACAAGTTTCCCCCCCCTCCCTTAAAAAACCCTTTAGAAAAATTAAAATGCATTTAGAAAAATAAAAATGCAGTTGGTCAACAATAGCCTTCCAAGGCACTTCCGGAGGATGTAACTGAAGGTCCGAAGCTGCTGCCAGGGAGGGTCTATTTCAAGGTGCTGCTGCCACTCAGTCAGAACCGCTTCGGCTTCCCAGTCGTGGGATCGGGTTGCAACATTGCAGGGCAGCCAGAGATACTTTGGAAGAATCAAATAAAAGCGAACAATCCAATCCACCCCCTCTTATTTTTTGCTGCGGCGATCATGCCTCCAGCTTGTTTCTTGCCGCTCCCTGCACTTGTCCGCCTCCTCCAGTCCCCCCCCGAGATCTCCTCGCCGGAGAGCGCTGGAGAAAACAAGCCAGATGATTCGTGTCTCAGCACGGAGGCAGCGCAACCAAGTTGGGGCGCGAAAGCCAAGCCAAGCTCTACCCGTAGCAGAGAAGGGGCGCAGCAGAGCAGCCTCTCTGCCGGGTGAAGAAGCCACAGGCAGCGGTGGCGTGGGAGGGGGTCTGGGGGCGAGGAGCAAGCAGGATTGCAGGGGTGCAGCTACTTCGCCTCCAGCAGTGCTGCTTTTTAAAGGGAGCTGGGGGGGGCTTTCCTTTCCTGATTCCCCAATTGCTGAGAGAGGAGGAGATGGAGTCGGGGCTAGCGGATGGCGGGCTATGACCTCCTGTGCCGTGGTGCACAAGTGCTGGGATTGCACAGCTTTGAAGTGCAGAGCCCCAGAGCCAGCAGGGCTTTTGGAGAGACCTGGGTGAGAGGGGCTGGGAGGGGGGGGCAGGCCAGTCTGGCAGGCGCCTAAAACTGTCTATGGGTGCTGTTCACCTGCGAAAACTTCCCCCGTTTGCCCTGAGGCTTTCCAGCATCCTTGTGCTGCTCTCTCTGGGTGAGCCAAGCAGGACCCTTCAGCCTTGTCTCCCAGTGGAGGAAGAGTGGTTTTGCCTCCAGAAGGTCCGGGGAGGTGCTCTTTAAAGAGCCAGGGCTGGTTGCGCGCCACGCTGAGCTCCTAAGGGCAAACTGTGCTCCTCGAGAGGAGTGGTTTTGCCTCCAGAAGGGCGGAAAGGGCGCTCTTTAAAGAGCCACGGCCACCAGCGCCCCACAGGGAGCGCCCCTCAGAAGAAGAAGAAATTGGATTTATACCCCGCCCTTCACTTGGAGTCTCAGAGCGGCTTACAAACTCCTTTCCCTTCCCCACAACAGACACCCTGTGAGGTAGGTGGGGCTGAGAGAACTCTGACACAAACTGCTCTTTTTCAAGGACAGCTGTGCCAGAACTTGTG